GAAGTGAGCCATTTTTACCTAATCAGCCATCTTAGTTTTCTCTCTGTCAGAACCTGAGTTTTAATGCCAACTCTGCCATCACTCACTACATAAACTTTTATAAATCACTTTCTCTCTGAACACTAGTTACCCAGTAAAATGATCTGAATGTACTCTCCCACTTCTGACATTCAGTAAGACAAAGAATATGCACCGAAAAATGTTAGCACTCTCTTTGTAATCCACAGTTTCCTGCCCGTAGGCCTTTGAGTCCTACCCTCTTCCAGTTAAGGATTGACTCAGTGCTCCTGACAATTGAGTTGATCTGGAGAGTATCACCTTTGCTCCTCCCTACCTTCCAGTGAAATAGGGGAGCGGCTGTATTCAGTCATTCTCTCTCCATTTGTTCTGCAGCTTCCTGTTGGCAAGGCCCAATCTGTTTTCTAGCAAAAACCAAAGCCTCTCAACTCATGAAAAAATTAGCTCTGGGTCACATAAGCAGAAAAAGCAATTTCATTTAGTTCTTAATGTTTTTCTTTTAAATATATTCTATTGTCTTGCTTTTTAATTCAGACCCTATCAGTAACATAGGGTTCTATTTTGCTGAAATAGAGTAGGCTTAAAAGCTAAAAAGACAAAGTTCCGTCCTCCAGGAACTTAAAAGTCCAGCAAAGTAATGGTCCATTTGCTCTTTATCCCCCAAACCATGGTGAGAATGAAAGATATAGCAGACTTTTTTATTCTTTTGAGTCTCCACGCATTTGGATCTCATTCCTAGGTTTGGGAGATGTCCTTCCTTGTGAGAAGCAGCCCATCTCCCAACAGAGGGAAGACTTGTCCTTTCCCTGGCATCCAGGAAAAAGGCCTACACAAGGCCTACCCAGTTGCAATTGCTTGCAATTTGTTGCAACCTAGGCCTACCCAGTCAGATGTGCTCACCTCACATTCTGAATCCAATTCTGGTGACACGGGAACCATGCAAACCCTGTGAGGCGATGGGAGGCAGCAACAGCTACACTGGAACCCCCAAGACCATGGTAGCAATCCCATTTCTAAAATTCAGAATCTTCTTTTCCACCTCTTTTATTTTAAAAATGCAGTGTGGAATAAATGAAGACCACCCAAAAGAGAACAAGTGAAGGCAATTTATTCAGAGCTTGCTATAGCCTGCAAGGATGAGAAAGCTTTACAGTAGAAAAAAAGGAAGCATTTAGGTATGCCTTGATTGGAGGCTGTTGTAGGGGGAGCTGTCAGTGAGCTTACTAGAAGGCAAGCATCCCGTGCAATTGGTTACGGGTGCATATTTGGCTTTCTCCTGTTCATGCTAAGCGGGAAGTGGAGACAAAAATTAGGGAGGCTATAAGCTATCAACTTCTGGCCTTTGGGGGCCACCTGCTACAGAAGGTATGGTTTGGCTTCCTGGGCTAGTTGGCTAGTTGCTGCAGACTGTGGATCAGAGTTCTATGTTTATATATGGACTAAGTCATTGTCCATATGTATATTCAGTCTTTCAGGAGGAACTGAGGTCCAGGAGAGAGTGGCTCATCCAAGGTCTAATAGATAAGGCACAAGGCAGAGTAACCAGAGGTGACAGATCAACCAGAAGCTTAGCATGTTTATCTTGTCATCTTCAAAGGAATTTACATTCTGCTTGTTGAGGAAACCATAGGAAAATGAAGTTCAACACAGATGTTGTAGAGATAAGGTGCACTAGTAACTTAGTATTTAGTGCCACAGCTTGGCAGGAAGGTTCGTCCCTTTCTTCTCCGGGCAGACCCGCTGCGATAGGCAGAGACCCTCTTGATCAATGCTTTCTGTGTACTGGGCATTCCAACCAGCCAGCAAAGTGAAGTGGTTAAATGTGTAGTTCTCCAGTCTGTCTACTGTATTCATATTTCACCTCCACTATTGTTAGCTGTGTGAACTTGAACAAAATACATTAACTTTCTAGTCTTCAGTCTCTACATCTGTGAGATGGGAATGACCATGGCACATGTGTCATCAGGTTCATGTGAAATTAAATGAGTGGACACTTGCAACATGCATAGGACGTTACCTGGTACATAACAAGTGCTTGTACAAGTTAGTTGCAACAATTTCATTTAGTCCTCACTTCAGCCCAGTGTGGAAAGTAGTACAATCCCACTTTGCAGATAAACAAACTAAGGATGGCTATCTCACTTATCCAAGGTCAAGATTTTCACTCAGGTCTCTATAAAACCAAAGCTCATTTTTCCTCCCTACTATGCTTCTGAACACAAGATGCCACTGTTGGGAAGGAGGAAAGAGCAGAAAAGCATAGAGAACTGTGCTGTCAGAGTGTCCACATTCAACTCTTGGTTCTGCCCTTGCACAAACTGCTTCCCACCTCTGAGTACATTATCACTTGTAAACTGGTAATAATACTTCTACTTCAAAGGGCTATTTTAGGGATTAAAAATGAAGATATATGTGAAGTTCCCAGCACAGTTCCTAACACATACTAAGTACTTAAATGATTTTAATTATTGTAATTGGAAGTGACAATTGTAAACCATTCTTTAGGATCTGTCCCTCAATGCACCTTCGTGGAATTTTCCTTAACCCCTAACCTGGCTTGACCCCTCCAGCACTGAATTTCCCATCACTGGTACAATGATGATCAGGCAGAAAAAAGACAAATGATTTGGAGGAGGATATTGTCCTTCAGGGGAGATAAAAAAGATAACAAAGTCAAAGAGGTAACCAAGAAGTAAAGACATGACAAATCAGTGTTGGAATAGAGTTGCAAAAACTCTATGCCTTCCATAGCCCAGACTTTAAGAAGATGCAGAAATGCTTCCCAGAAAAACAAATGAAGGAGCTTTGTCCTCAGCTCTGTGAGTCAACCTCAGACACACCCGTCTGGAAGACTCACACCACTGGCAGGTAAACTGAACCTCTTCATTGCCAGCCAATGTTTCTTGGAGATGGCAGTTCTGAGTTTAACACTGAGTTTAATGTTAAAAAAGTAACTTTAATGTTAAAGTTACTTCTCAATTCTTCCTTGATAGTTGAAACTAAGTTCTAGTTAGAGAAAACCAGGAGACATGTGACTGCAAATTCTGATAGAAGAAAGGTGACATAAGGTAAAAATCTCATAGAAAATGAGTGATTACGATGGAGAGCATCAAAGCAGATAATGCCTTGTTTTCAGAGGAACATAAAAGACCATCTCTTCCCTGAAAAGTAGATGTCATCATCCTGTTTTCCAGGGGAAGAAACTAAATTCTAAGAATGTTAAGTTTTACAGCACAAATTACTCAGCTAATAAGGGTAGACTCATAATGTGAATCATACATACTCAAATTATATATTTATATATTGCATATTTATATATATATTTTAAAGGCATCTATTGCCCTGGCTGGTGTGGCTCAGTGGTTGAGCACCAGCCTGCAAATCAAAGGTCTGGTTGGATTCCCAATCTAGGGCACAAGCCTGGGTTGCAGGCCAGGTCCCCAGTAGGGGGCACGTGAGAGTTAATCACACAGCGATGTTTCCCTCTCTCTCCCCTTTCCCCTCTCCAAAAAATAAATAAATAAAATCTTTTAAAAAATAAAATAAAAAGACACCTAAATGTTTGAGTAGTTATCTATGGGTGGTAGAGTAATGGGTGGTTTTAATTTCCTTCCTTATATTTCTCTTTATTTTAAAGATCTTGTTTCTATTGGATAGTTCTTAATTATATGAGAAAAAAAATCATCGAAGTAATTTAGACAAACCAGGGTACAGGCCTAAACCAGAGGCAGTAAAGAGAGCTCTCTGTAGGAGCACTAGTCTGCTGTTTCCGAAATTGGGAAAACTCAGCTCTTAAACTGAGGGTACTGTTGCAGATGAGGTGGGGAGAAAGGAGGCAAGCAGCCCAGGGCAGAATTCCACCTCCTTACAGCCCAGGGAAGCTCAACATCTCCACATGAAAGGGGCCTGGAAAGAGAACACTGACTTAATCCACGGTCATGAAGACAAAGATTTGATCCAGTAACAACCTAGATCCTGGGGCTGGACACAGTGCGAAGTGGGAGGGCCTCCAGAGGGGGCTCATACACTTTCCTGGGCAAGGCTCTTTGCACGTGTATGTTCTTAACCCTTATAAATAGAGACTCCAGCTCATTGTAATCTGTGTTGCAATCAAGATCTCTGACTCAAGAGTCTGGTACTCTGAACTAAGAGAAAACCCCAAAGTACAGAGAGGACAGTGCTTAAGCCAATAAAATGAAAGGAGGGATGGCTAAAGCCCCTCCCTTAGTCACAATCCCTTTTTGTGGAAAGTAGAACCACCAGATCAGAGATGTGAATAAACTGAAAGAGCTGGGCAGGTGTTCAGGAGGCGAGAAAAGGCTCAGGTCCCCACCTGCATCCTTCTTTCCTGAAGGAGCAAGTGATTCTCAGATAATTTAAGATGCAAGCTCAAACTCATCATTTTTCTGTTCCTGGTTTAAAAAAAAACACAACTCCAAACATATATTATGTTAACAAAACTTTATTCATAGAATAAATTTCACATTAGAACTTATACCACAACCCCCACTTAGTAACCACTGTTTCAGTTTATAAAATTACTGTGGCAGTCAGTATGTCCTTAATTTAATAAAAATGAATACCCCTCCCCAGCCACTTGTCTAGAATTTAGAGTTTGTTTACTGCTTGAAAATATGTAACATGCCCTAGTCAGGTTATAAATATGATCCATGAATTTTTTAAAAAGACATGTTCAAGTACAAAAATAAATAGGTTAAATAGCAAAAATAAATAAATGCATTAATAAATATATCCAACGATACAAAAGATATTACCAAAATCTTAGAAAACTGTGCTTTAGATTAAGACAGGAAACACATGAAAAGAACCACAATAAGGAAACAAATATTAAATAAACAATACACACAGTGACCAGCACTAAATGATATAACAAGGAGACCATGGTCTGGGGTCATGTCTCCACAACACTCAGGACTGGGATTCTTGGCCAGGAACATTGTCAGCAGTGTTGTCGCTTCCTCCTATCTCGTCTTCTCCATCCACTGCAGGAGAATGTCTAGCTCTCCCAAAGCTTTCACCACCACTTCATGAGGCTTAAGCTGAAAGACACACACTTACATGGTGAGTAAATCTCAAAGAGACAACATGTACCCCAAGGTTAATCCTCTCCTTTCATTGCCAGTTCTGTTGCAGATTGTAAGCAAAGCATTCTTTTCAACATAAAGGAACTGGACAGAACTTATATAGAAAGAACCTCAAGATCTCACAAGAGGAGGGAAAATCACCCAGGTTTTACACAGGGAAACTGAGACCCTAGGGAGTAGCAGAATTGAGACTGCAACCCAAGCCTCCTTACATCACAGAAATCAAAGTTATGAGGCTGTTTTTTGAAAAGGCATGTGTATGTCCGTGAGAGTGTGTGTGCATGTGCACAAGAGTTGCCTCTTCTGCATACTTCAATTGAACAAATGTTTATTGTGCTAATCACTGGGCTGGGCTGGGATCTGGAGATGAATTGTACAATAGTCTAGTGAGGGAGACAGGCAGAAGGAGGCAATTAAAATGTAGTATGGTGAGTAAGTGATGGAGTCCACACAGGACAACAGTGGAGGCACTAAACTCAGAGAAGTTGCAGCACCTTCTTGAAGGTGATGCCTAGACCAAGTCTTAAAGGATGCATGGGCTTAGTCAGTAAGGAGTGGATTCCAGGCGTTCCTGGCAGATGTACAAAGTCACTGAAGTGAGAGACAGCATGGTGTGGGCTTGTTGGAACTTGTGAGTGACTATATTTGAGGGTATGTATGAGTGTGTGAATATTGGAAAACTACAGTCTCTTGTTTGTGTAGAAGGAAGAGCATATGTCTCTGGAGTGACTTGATTGAATCACTGTCATTCCCTTTTATTTCTCAAAGCATGTTCCAGAGAAAGCACCCTTCTGGAGCCTGATGGGTGTCTCTGGAGTAAAGCAGAGAGAGTCCACATGACCTCAGGGGGCTATTAATCTGAGGGCTACTGGATTCCTATCAGTATGAATACCCATCCCACCCATCTATGACCTCAGTTCTAAAAACACATTCATCCCAACCAAGGCCAAAATTGCATATACCTCTTTAAAGTGATTCAGAATCTGGCTGTATTTCTTCATTGCTTCCTCCCCACAAGGGCATGTCATATGGGCATGCTGAAAGGAATGCCAAAGAATGACAGGTTTTATTAAATATTCTGATTTCCTGCCATTAATATGAAAGAGAAGAAAATTCTCCTCTTTGTATTGATACTTCATTCTTAAAGAAAAGTCTTTTCAGGCTTCAGCATTTAGGATCATTAACCTAATCGTCTTTAGAAGAGGAGGCCAGCTTTTTAGGCTCAACTACAGAGTTCATTGCTTCTTTTTAGAAAAAGGTAGCTCTGAAGGAGTTTGTGATCACAGTATTCCATCTGGCCTATACCCCCCACATCAGCTGTGGTCTATCCTCTTCCAGAGAGCCCCCATGAAAGAGAAAATTGAGTTAATAAGTACTGCTCAGGCCCCATCTTGAGACTGAATCCGATGGCCTGATGACTGGCTGCCTGGACCCTGTATGCACTAGTACACACACCATCAGATCCTTCACCTTAATTCCATGGATAAGAGATAATTGTCATTAACATTAAACAGCTAGCATTTTGTAGTTCTTTAGACTTTTTTACATGGAGCATAGATCCAAAAGTCAGTAAAACTGAGTTCTTATTACCTAATCATGTGGCTCAACACAGATTATTAGAACTTTTGGACCAAGTTTTTTCCATCTCTTACATAAAAGTTAAAAAGAGTTTAGTTGCTAAGTCACCAAAGCTGTGTGCCGAGATGAATCCCTTTACACTAGACTCCTACTCACACAGAGTCGGAGGTCCTTTTTGACAGTAAGAAAAGAGTTGGCGAGACTGCTGATCTTTCGGCGGATATGGTGGTCAGAGGTCAGATAGTTTTTGAATACTGTATCCAGGTAGAGTCTCAGTATATGGCGGAGGAGGCAGCACTGATCTGCAGGCTACAAAAACAGATTGGCGTGTTGGTGGGGAGAGGGTGTCCGGGGACTAGACTCAGGGGGATAGAGTTGCCCCTCGCTCACATTTCCTCCCAGAACTCCTATGAGCCAAGCACATACCTTTGTGTCTTGCAAAGACTCAGTCTTCCTCAAGATTCTGAGATCAATGATTTCATCTTTGGCTTGCTAAACAGAAGGCAAGGCAAGAAATGACAAGTCATTGATGGTTGTCTGGGATTTAGACACAAAGACCTCTCATTCCCTCCTTGCCATGACCCAGTGAGCAGTGTCCCTTTACAAAACACTTTTATATCATGAACTACAGAAGTTTCTTGGGAATACATCTGTCTCTTTTTGTGACCATGCTGCTGAGAGACAGAGGAAGATAAATAGAGAAGGGAAGAAGCAGCTACAAAATTGGGAGTTGCCTCCCCCACATACCACACTCTCCCTTATCTCAGAAAATGTATTTTGCATTTCCTGAAGGTCTGTGGTGATCACGCAGCTTCCCAAATGGAGTGTCTTCAGCCCAGCAGAAGGTGTCCAGAAGAGATAAAACACAGCCAAGAAAATGCAGCGGGGGAGACTGGAACCTTTCATCTTGTGACAGAATCTGGAAACCACAGGAGCTAGGAATTCAAAGAAAAGAGCGTGACTTACTGATTTCCCCCAGATGCGTTAAGAAGCCCATATGGTCACCAGAGACCTGCCTCCCCCAGATGTCTCATGAGGAGGAAACTTAATAGCTTTATCTGGCTTCCTACAGTCTAGCATATTCATCTAACTTACTGAGAAAAAATGCTGAGCTTCCTCAAAGAAGAGCCTTCTGTTGCTCACTCAGGATCTGAGTGTGAGTTGGTGCTACAGGTCCCTGCTCCTTTATTCTGTCCCCATCCCAACCCCATCATCATTGCCCAGGAGGTAAGTCCTGGAGCAGCAAACAGTGAGTAGATAGAGGATGACATCTCAGGGAAAATGTCAAAACTTGTTTCTGTGAATTGACGTATATCATCTTCCCTTTCAGAATGCCAGTATAGCTCACTCTTCTGATTCCTTTAGACCCTCAGGGAAACTGGGGGGAAAGAGACTCACAGAAGCTGTTGCCAAGCCACCAGAAACACTTGAAGAAAATTGGATTTTATGGCCACCTCAGGGCAGAGGAGCTTAGCTCTGTTTGACATTTGTCTGAGATCAAATCACTCATTTGGGGAGAGCCGATTTATCTCAGCCCAGAAGGCAAATAGAAAGTCAATGACTTCATAAAAATCTTACTGCCAAGGAAAGGCAAGATCAATTGGGCAATCTGCCCAATTCCACCTAAGACTTCTCCACCCTCCTGCAGTGTCTACTCCACAGTGCCCTCCTCAGGAAGACTGCAGTCAGGTACACCTGGGATGAATTCAAGAGCACGCTCTTCCCTGGCACTTTAAATCCCGCTGAAGATCAAATGAAGAAAGACAGAGGAAAACTCATTTCTTTTTGGGGTGAGCCTTTGTCCATAAGGTGGCACTTTATAGTCTTCGCTGACTTTTAAGATGAAATAATAATGGGCTGGTATTAAGGCAAGGAGAGTAGGCACTTACTTCAGGCACAAAATTTTACGGGGCACAAAGTCTCAGTGGTCAACAGAAATAATATTTTAATGCAATATCAAAATTAATGAAAAAGATCACGATAAACAAAATATCAATATTTTAAATAGGGGCAGAATCTGAAAGTGCCTTGCTAAGCTGTGTTGGAACCCAAGACCAAAGGGAAAACAAGTACTCCTATCTACTTACATACAGTATATGTTTTTATGTATCTTTAGTTATTAATTTTTTCCCAGAACTATATGATAAAAATATTAGTGATGAGTCTTCACCAGGAAAGTAAAATAATAAATTCTTTATGGGGCTTTTAAAAAGTGTTTAAACTTACAATAATATTGTCAGTTGTAATATAGCTGCTTGTAAAATTTTCAATATCTTTCAACTACTTTAATGTTTTGGGGAAAATAACATATATAAAATACATAAAAACTTCTGTTTAGGAGTGTACATCTTTCCTTTTTTACCTTAGGCTCCAGTACGGATCAGTACCACACCGCTAACCATCACCACTTACTGAACTGTTCCCTGCATGCCAGGCAATGTGCTAGGTATATTTTAAGTCCATGTCCATCTGAGATACTGCCAATGTAGGAAAAAGGAACACACAAACTAAACCCAAAAGAATTAGAAAGAACTCTGTGTTTAGAGACGAGAGAACTGGATTCATATCCCTGCTCCCACAAGTTCCCACCAATGTAGGTTGTCCCAGTTTGCCCAGGACCTAGGGCGTTCCTGAGACACAGGACTTTCCAATTTAAAACCAGAAACCACAGGTAAACCAGGATGATTTAGTCAGTCACCCTGCATCTCTGGGAGCTTAGACAAGTCGACTCATCTCTCTGGGCTTTTGTCTTAGCCCCGAAATGGTGATAATTAAACTTACCCCAGAATTTGTTTTGACATTTAAATAAAATAAAGTATAATTCATACACCTGGCACATAATGAGTGACTGATTCATTTTAAATAAAAATTACATTAGTTTGCCTTGAATGCAGTAGGTGTGTAGTGAATATACAATAAACTCAACAATTTAATCCGCGTTTATTGAGCACCTACTATATTGGGCTAGGTACTGAAATACAAAGATAAACATGACAATTCCCTACCCTCTAGGATATTTTTTCCTAATGCAAAAAGCTCGTTTAGATGTGACCCTGAACACATTGTGGTAGATGATGGGAGAAACTGGGCTGATCCCCAGAACTGTAGACAGTGTAGGTAGAGGGAAAGTTCTCTTACCTGAGCTCAGGAAGGGCTGTTGCTTCTGATATTCTAGGAGTCTGTTTCAAAGCTAAGAGACTTCTAATTATTTATATATGTGACACATGAAGGAAGTGAGCTCACACAGGTGAGAGCTGAAACTCCCCTGGAATTTCTCTAGTGCATAGCACTTCCTCCCATCCAAAGACAGTTTAACTGGTGGCTGGATTACCTCAACACTTCTAAGAAGCACTTCTTAGGAGGTTATTGTTATAGTTGGATAAATGATGTGCTCTTTCTTTCTGGCTCCCTCCCAGTGGTAATTAGGACAGAAAAGATCAGTGAATTAGAGAACTAGAAGAGTTCTCTAATACCACTAGGTATTTTTTTCCTCTCCTTTAATGCTAATCCTCCATGACCAGGCTTCTCCCCAACCCAAGACACAGTGGGCTCACTCCTGCAATTTCTCCTTTTTTTTGCTGTTACCACCCTGTCGCTCCAACAATGGCCACCCTTCTTTCCCTCCACTCCTTAGTAAAGAGTGGGCCCCAATTCCTTATTCTTGAACTACTCCAGACCACACCAACCCCACATTTCTCTGACTTCCAGAGAAAGGAAGAAAAATCTGACAATAGCAGATTTTTCTTTGGCATGTGTGAGAGTCTAATGTTGCCCTGTGTTTCATGGGCCTTAGCCTTTTCTCCCAGAGGACACTGGAAGATTTTTTTTTTATAAAGGGACTAATCCATCTGGTAGAACCACATTTTGGCAAGATTAAATCAAAGCACTGAGATGAACTACATGTCATGTTTAACACTCTAAAAATTATTAAGATGGTAGAGATTATAATACATCCCTTTCCAAGTTATTTCTTCCTTAATACCTACAGCTCTAAAGTCCTATATTTGAGTCCTAGGATTCATAGTCCACAGGATGACTTTAATATAGTAGTTCATCTTTTTGGATTGCAGTTCACATATTTGTAACATGAGAGCAATATTTTATATTTTATAAAATATTTTATAACATTTCATACATGAAATAATCTGTAAATTCCTTTACAGTTCTTACATTCGATCTCACTACAATTCTCTGCTTCTCTACCTTTGCATCAGAACACTCCTTTTAGTGTCTTTTAATGTTCTCCTAAAGTTCCTTGAAATGAAGACCATAACTTTTCATTGTAATGTTTGATGCATGTTGAAAATATGTATGAATATCTCCTCTAAATATCTGTTGAGCTCATGCCTGTTTTTTCATCATTGGTGCTGAGTAAACAATTTCTTATGATCAGCTATAAATGATTAAAGTAAAACTGAGAAACATGACCTGACAAGAATATTTGAAATCAAGATTTTCAGGAAGTATAAGCAGTGCCCATGCCAGTCACTTCCTTTTCATTAGCCAAGAAGAGCCCAATTACTTTGTTTTAAGTTACCTGTAACAATGAATTGAACTTAATTTTTCTTGTTCAATCCCAATTCTACTTGATTAAGTCTACTTGAATCGATATCTACTTTTCCTATATCAAAATACTTTATTCTTTCAAAATCCATTGAACAGATCCCATCCCATTCTCTGCACAGACACCAATTCAGCTCACTTCCTCTACAAAATTTTGTGTACCTTCCCCTAACCATTTTCTCTATCTAACTACCAATTCCAAAGGCAAAAATGGCCATTCCCAGAAAGAGACTTAATTATGGCCTGAACTAGTAGCAGTAGAAAAGTAGATGTGAGTGGACTTAAGAGAATTTGAGTACATTGTAAGAAACTAGAGATTAATTAAATATGTAGGTCAGAGTAAGGAGGAATCAAGGATCGTAATAATATAACTAGGTTGAACTACATGCAATTTCCATCTGTGTAGGTCAAAACTGTCTAATATTAGCACTGTCATGTGGTTCAACCTAAAAATTATTATTTTGACACTACATAGAATATTCTAAGCATACTACCTGGGCTTACATATTAAAAACTGTGTACACTATAAATATATATATATAATATATATGTAAATGTATAACATACAATGTATATCTACTAATACGTACTTACTGTAGATATTCTCATTTAATTTTTGTAAAATTCCACTAAGAACATAAGCTCCTGGAGGGCTGTATTTGTGCCTGTCTTATCCACCCCTATATTACAAACACCTGGAATGGATCCTAATCCATTATAAGTTTTCAATGAATTTGTTGAATATATTGTTATTTCTATGAGACACATCTTATAATTCAATTTTCCAATGACGAAACTTAAGCTTAGAGGTTGAATGGTTTTGCCCAAGTTCGCCCACCCAATAAGTAACAGACTTTACTAAAAATATAGCATCTTTTCCTATTGTTGATGTGAGGATCATAAGGCCCAGGGGACAACATGAAGATTAAGGTGAGTAGGTGGCAGAATGGAAACTTCCCCTAGGTTTCCTAATTTTTAATTCATTGCTCTTGCCATTAAACTGTGTGTCCTCGGGGACAACAGAGCCCTAGAAGAGTAGTAGAAAAGGGGGTCCAGGAAACAGATTCCTAATTTTATTTCTGGGCCTACATATACGGAAGAGTCCAATAGTATGTTCACTTAAGAGAATAGACCACCCATTTTACCTTCCTGAGGACCTCTGAATTAATGCTCTGAATCTACACTAACAGAAAGAATCCCTCTCCCTCCAGCACTTCCCATCATCCCTTCTACGAATCCTTGATCACTGGAATAATTCCATGCTATCGTAGGCAATACCCAGATACTTAAGGCCCTATCCTTTAGGCGATAAACAGTATGGGTGTAGTTATGGAGATTGTGAA